GTCTGTTTTTATTTTATTTATATTATCGTGAAAATATTGTAATAATTTGCAGTTACTCCTCTTGTTCCCTTTGTTTGACTGCTCGCTTACTGCTTCTGTGAAAATGATGTAATGTGGTGGAAACGCTTAAGTGTTTGAAATATTATTAGACCTAGATCTAGATCTAGATCTATTACGTTTTCTCTTTCTTCTTTTTCTTTTTACCCCCTCCTTTTTATTATTTATTTTTGGTACACTTTTCTGGATTTTCTTACCTTGAATAAGGTATGAAAAGTTTAATAGATTTCCAAAATGCTACTCCAAATACAAGCCCTTCATTACAAAAATTCAATTCTAAATGAGAGTTCCAATTCAGATCTGCTGTCCAAGTGCTTGTTTTTTAGAGTCCTTAATATTTAAATTTTAAATTTTGCAAACACCCCACTCCCCCAAATCTCCTAACTCATATTTTTATTTTTACATATTTTTTTATTCATGGCAGTGCATGTCAGCTTTTTCTTGCCTACATTTGCAATGTTCAAGAGGCAAACTTTTGTACTGCTAACCTACATGATGTATTTATCCAAGATGGACATTAAATGACCAGTCACTAAATGGGTGAACCTCACCTGTCTTCAGATTCCCAAACACCTTACTGGTGTGTCATAATATAGCCCAGGTTGGCAAACACTGATTTATGGCTTTGAAAATGGGAGATGGATGGGAAAAAATGAAAACAGTTCTTTAGTGTGTGAGGGAAATTTTACACAGGGTTTAAGGATCTGTTTCGTTATGTTTATGTGAAAATAACCGTGTGTGTCATCATTTAGGTCAACAAATAAATATTATAAAACAAAATGGTGAGAAAAATAAAGGGTTTGTAAGGTCGCTTTTAAGCAAAAGGGGGCTATACCGAAAAATGCTGTTTTAAGAAAATCGAAAGTAAAGTTTTTGGACCCTTGTTCAGTTTCTTTAAAGTACAAGGGGAGTTTTCTCAATAACCAAACAAGTATACGCACCAATGACACCAACTTTTCCTATAGGAAAGGCAATGCCCGCTTTTGGTGTAGGTCAAGATTTCTGGAAACCCCCGAAATCTGGGTTAGTCCGCTTGTCCTTTAAAGCGACCGTATCACATATTGCTACAAGTTGAATGCCAGTAGTATGACGACACATGCCAGGGGAGACTACAGAACCTAACATTTGAATGAAACAGCTGGTTGGCTTAAACTTGGAGTTATGGCCTACGCAAATAATTATCCAAACTCGACAAAATAATACGATGCTGAATCCAACTAGTTTTTGTTTGTTTGTTTGTTTGTTATATTTTTTGCTTTCTATAATCGACCTCAAAATGATTTAGGGCCTACTACCCATTATTTGAGGGTGCGGTAGCAGAGCGGTAAGTGCGCTCGTCTCCGAAGCGGTAAGTCCGGGTTCGAGCCTAGGATCGGACACGGATTTTTCCCCCCTCCTACCCATCCAGCAGCAACGGGTACCTGACTTCAAGTTGAGAAAGTAAAGGCGGCGGGGAAAGGAATTGGCCACCCTACCACAATATGCCAAAGGCACAGGAAGTTGTCTCAGTACCAAAACAATCCCCAATGTCCTTATCGGAAGCGGGAACAACATAACTTTTACCTTTTATTTGGTCTGACTGCTTTAATAGCTCTCGAATTAATTTACCAAGACCTTGTTTCGTATGATTTTTGCGCTCATAAAGTTAGTTTTGACCCCATCCATTTCCCTATTGCTAGTTTCCTATTTTCTCTTGTACGGTAGCATAGTAATGTTTTTTCTCATGTTGCCCGATCCTATACAATTGACACCATCTGGTTAGTGGCACGAGGTGAGCTGAATTTTATCAGCCATTCCATGTATTCCTCATGCGAGGTGGAGTCTTACCTCCATAACTCTCTTAATCGGGATACTTTTTGTAACGTTTGCACTGCTGCGTTACCCGCCAGATCTGTACTGATCCTCAGGAAATGTTGGTCAGTCGACGCGTCTATCGGTTCGAATAAGACTGTTTGCTTGGTCAGAACGTATCTTACTAGATTTAGTTGTAATTTCATTTTTTTATTTCAGTTTAGACCATTAAATGAAAACGTGGATAAAAAAGATTAAAACAAACCCAACTAGTATGTATGTCGTAAGCCAGCGGCGATACTTAAATGTTATTTAAAGCCACATCTAAGTCCTCTCAGGTAGTGATTCCTAAGTATTCTGTACTGATGTACTCTTTAAAGGTGTCGATCTGTCATTAAAAATCTTTTGAAACTTTATCAGAGCATGGGCCATAAATATTGATTAAAAATATTGTGTCATGTTCTAATCTTAGTGCAGAAATGACTGTTCTTTCAGATTGAAAGACATATTCATTATTGAAGGCTTTCATGCATTTGCAAAATAAAGTCGTGACTTCCTTATTCTTGACTGTACCTTCACCGTGGTGGACTCCTCTCCACTCCCCCAAAATCCCCACACCAACTTCAAACTTTTCATTTCATGTTCACTATCTTTGTCCACTAAATATGATTCTTGTTGAACTGTTTAATCATTGTGAGGCAGCTTTGTGAAACCAGTCGCTAGTCAAAATAAAGCAATTGAAGGGATTGGCATTTTCCTGACAGTTTGGTTATTTTTATCCTTTTTTAGCTCAACATCTCTCGAGCCCATTCAAGAACACATTTATGTGTGGAATTTTCTTTCTTTTTAAAAAAAAACTAAAAGACGTTGATTAAAGACTCAAAAATATACGTCTTCATTTACCACGGGCTCTCAAGCTATGGAAGTAGCTAAACTTATGGCGACAATTTTCTCGCTAATTTAACCTCTGAAAAAAGGTGACACCCACCTCCTTCAGTTGCGGATATCTCGGGTATTTTTTTCTCGAAAACAAGACAAATGAACAAGCTTTAAGATAGTACCAATAACTCTACATGCCCAAAAATTGACGAGCGCTGGATTCCACCTCGTCGTGACACATATCTATTTTCTCATTCTTCATAATAATTTATCTCATTCGTAGAAGGGAAGACCGTTTGGCCGCCACCTAGTCGAAGTTCAAAGGTAAATAATCCTCTGCCATAAAGAATCACACTTGTTATAATAGCAAAACACCCTTTAGCCATCCTGGCTTTGAACCGTCTTGACCAGGAACGCCATGATCTGAAGGGAGGGAAGTACATGTTGTAGTACTTGGGCAGTCTACGTCTTTTATGTCTGCATGCGGTCAAGGCAAAACTTCATCATGCATACTGCTTTAGCCATCATAGATATCGACGGGCAACTGAAGAATATACCTCATTACATTGTTCTTTATCCAATTGTTTTGAAGGTTGTGGACATCATATCTGCAAACTGTGATAACTTTAAGATGTCTCCTTTATTCTATTGGGAATCCATTCAAAAGAGGTCGAGATATTGTCATCTCCATTTCTTGTTAATGTTGGTCCACCGCTGATAATATTTTTCTTCTGACTAGTTCGAGCTCTCTATAACGAGAATGATTAAATATCTAAATTCTTGAAAGCCCATTTGTGCATATAGGGCGCAACTTACTTTACGGTTATGAGAACTGACAGAAGCAGGGATATAGGTCAAACTTGGCATACTTTGGTATGATAGGAGTTTAACGCCTCTTTCATTACGAAAGGTTATTTAAGTGTGGGACCTCTAAATTGAATTTCCTTCTCTTATTACGCGCCTGAAAGATGGAGAGTCTTGATGACGGCCCAGAAAACTCAAGTACTATTTGCTATCTGTACCATAACCTAGTGAGATACTAACTAGCCTAACAATACACCATTCTCTAGCCAAAACGATTCACCATACTTTTTGAAAACCTTTGTCGGTAGAAAATGAACTTCAGAAGTCTTACCTCAGTAGTATTAATAGTACTACTAGTACTACTATAGAGCGGTCAAAAATGCGTTGCGCAACCTTTCCTCAAATATTTCTTTTACGGATGAACCAATGTCACCCATACTTTTTAAAAGTTTTAGTAGAGGTTTTACGGCACTCTCAACTGCATAAGGTCATATGAGCGCCAGAAGATTAGTTGTGTCACAAGTCAAGAGAGTAACAAACATAAAAAAGAAGGAGGGAAGAAAAGGACGATAGATGTTTGATAGGAAAGAAGAAGAAAACCACACCAGAGCACCCGCCAACCACCCACTACCCATGCTTTGCACAGCAGTTTGTATCAATTTGTCTTAACTTAATCATATTTTTCCACAACAATTCAGACCCGATTAACTCTTTGAGGACGCTCAATTTTGCACGTCAGAAGACGCGTTGTTTCGGGAAGCTTAAAAAAGAATCCATAACTTCCTAATTCATACATATATTATTCTAATTCCGTGTTCTTTATCTTAAACTTCAAAAGGCAACCAATAATGTGCTTGCTACGAAATATACAAATTCGCGTTTCTGATGTGTGTATAAAGGTTCGAAATGTGCCGCATTATAGGCTTTGGTCTGTTGCTGATCGGAGGTATGTGTCCGCTAAGTCTCCATCACTCGGAAAATGTGATTTCTCGCACACATTTTGCATACGCACATGGCCTACGTCACAGCTCACCAATGGCACTTTTTAGTGGCAAAACTTCTCATCAAAAATATTTTTATAATGAACACATTTTTTTGCACTAAAGGTTCCCTAAACATACGTTCAATAAGCGTACTATTGCGTTTAGAAAAAAAAAGGACAGACTTGCTTTTAAAAGCGATATTGCCCGAGATGTTAACTTTAAAAAATCTGTAGAAACCATCGGCTTTGATTTTTTATTAGTGTTTATTAAGGAATATTCTAGAATACAGTGTGCTGGAGTTTGAAAAAATATTCACCTGTTAAGACAAATTGATATAAGTCATTGTGCAAAAGTTGGAGAATCTATGTTCGACAGGTGAGGAGACATTTCACAATAAGTTGCGCAATGCATTTTTGATCGCACTATAGTACACATCAAGGGACATAGAAAATATATTATACTCCTGTGGGCTACGTCCAACTAATT